TATTTTGATATTTATTTTTAATTAAATTAAGTATTGCAGCACATTAGAATGTGTCAGCTTATTGTTAGCTATTTTATTGTTTCAGTCAAAGTCAGTACCTAGATTTTAGGAAGGAATAAACTGCTCCACATATAATGGGAAGTTAGGGAGATCGTGTGATATTATGTAAGCCTATTTATTGGCCTTTTCTTATTCAATTAAGTAAGTTTTCCAGCATTTGATTCTAACATCTGGTATCAAGAGCAGAAAATTTCACAAGAAATCAAGAGAGAAAGAGCAGATGGCGTCCGAAGGCGGCGATCGTTTTAATCTACCATCAATTCCTAAATTTGATGGTGATTATGATCACTAGAGCATGCTCATGGAGAACCTTCTCCGTTCGAAAGAGTATTGGATTGTTGTGACCACAGGCCTCGTTCAACCCGCTGCAGAAGAAGTGCCGACGACTGCATAGAGAAAGATGGCGGAAGAGATGCAGTTGAAGGACCTGAAAGCCAAGAATTACTTGTTTCAATCTCTTGACAAGTCAATTCTGAAGACAATCCCAAAGAAGGAAACATCGAAACAAATCTGGGATTCAATGAAGATGAAATACCAGGGCAATGTTCGAGTTCAGCGATCCCAATTCAATCGATTGCGCAGAGAGTTTGAGATCCTTGCCATGAAGCAAGGAGAATCAATCAACGATTACTTCGGTAGGGTAATGATGATTGCAAACGATATGAGGAATTACGGTGAAGATATGACTGATGTCAAGGTCGTCGAGAAGATTTTGAGAACCCTCACTGTAAAGTGGAACTATATTGTGTGTTCCATTGAGGAAGCCAATGATATGGATAAGCTTACTGTCGATGAGCTGCAAAGCTCCCTTCTTGTACACGAGCAAAAATTCAAGAAGGAAGTATATGAAGAGAAAGCACTCACGGTGGCATACGGTGAGAACAATGGTGGAAGAGGATGAGGCAGCCGCAGAGCTTTCAGAGGAGGAAGGGGCGGAGGAGGCAGAGGCCGGCAACCCTATAGCAAGGCAACCATTGAATGTTATAAGTGCCATCAGTTGGGTCACTTTTAGTATGAGTGTCCAAATATGGCTAAGCAAGCAAATTACATTGAAATTGAAGAAATTGAGGAGTTATTGCTCATGGCTTATCATGAATCGTTTGGGCAAAGCAAAACTGATGTGTGGTTTCTAGATTCAGGATGCAGTAATCACATGCGTGGAGACCCGTCATTATTTAATCGGTTGGAAGATGGATTTCAAAGAACAGTACGGCTAGGGAATCATATGCAGTTAAATGTGGTTGGTAAAGGTACTGTCAGGCTATACTTTGGAGGCAATAGCTATCTTGTTCAGGATGTCTTCTATGTTCCAGAACTAAGGAATAATCTTCTTAGCCTTGGACAACTGCAAGAAAAAGGATTAGCAGTGGTGATGAAGGATAATAAATGTTGCATTTATCACTCAACAAAGGGCCTCATCCTTCAGAGCAACATGACCTCCAACCGTATGTTCGTTGTGCTCTCTGATAAGTATTCTGACAAGGACACAAAAGAAGTTTGTCTGCAGTCCACAACCCAAGATTTGGTATAGCTTTGGCATCGGAGGCTTGGCCATCTTGGTTACACAAGATTGCGCATGTTGAAGGACAAAGAGATGGTGAAAGGGATGCCGTGTCTTCTCGGACCTGATTCCATTTGCACAGATTGTCTGAAAGGAAAACAACATTGAGAAAATATTCCAAAAAAAAGCATATGGCGTGCTTCAACTAAGTTGGAATTAATCCATGCTGACATTTGCGGACCCGTCTCACCAGCTTCAAATGGCCAAAAGAGGTATTTGCTTTGTTTCATTGATGACTTTAGTAGGAAAGCATGGGTCTATTTCCTTGCTTATAAAGCTGATGCATTTGCTGCCTTTAAGCAATTTAAGAGTAGTGTTGAAAAAGAGTCTAGTCTGTCTATTAAGTGCTTAAGAACAGATCGGGGAGGAGAATTTACATCAAGTGCTTTCAATGATTATTGTAAAGATAATGGAATCAAGAGACAACTAACCACAACTTACACGCCGCAACAAAACGGAGTAGCCGAGAGGAAGAACAGAACAGTGATGAACATGGTAAGAAGTATGATGGTTGATATTCCTAAGAGTTTTTGGCCTGAAGCTGCGAGTTGGGCGTTCTACGTGCTTAACAGAAGTCCAACTTCTTCTGTGAAGGACATGACACCAATGGAAGCTTGGAGTGGGATAAAGCCATCTGTAGAACATTTTAGGGTGTTTGGTTGTATAGGACATGTACATGTGCCTGACGCCAAACGCACTAAACTAGAGAATAAGAGCAGAAGTTGTGTACTGTTTAGGGCTAGTTCAGAATCAAAAGGCTACAGACTATTCGATCCCATAAGCAAGAAAGTCATTGTTAGTCAGGATGTTGTGTTTGATGAAGAGAAAAAGTGGAGTTGGGATAAGAGTTATGACAGCTTGATAAGCCTTGATCTAGACTGCGGAGATGACATAAATGAAGGAGAAATTGAGACTCAAGATGTTACTAATAAAGATTTTGATGTTATTATAGAAACTGTCACTGAAGAAGATAAAACAAGCATAGATGAAGAGGGAAGTGATAGAGAAAACACTATGGCAGCGACTACGTCATCTCCTGAAGCCACAAATACAAGGGAAGGAGATTGTGTCAGAAGGACAGGTCGTATCAGAAGGAGACCAGTGTGGATGACTGACTATAACGTCAATGATGAAGCTGAAACTACTAAAGCAAGTCAAGATCACACCTCACATTTAGCCTTATTCATAGAATGTGATCCTATTAGCTATGAAGAAGCTGCTAAGAGCCAAGAATGGAGAAATGCTATGAATTCAGAAATTCAATCCATTGAGAAGAATGAAACATGGTTTCTCACTAATCTACCGGAGGGAGCCAAAAGTATAGGAGTAAAATGGGTTTATAAGACTAAATTGAATCAATATGGAGAAGTTGAAAAGTACAAAGCTCGGCTAGTTGCAAAAGGATATGCACAAGAACACGGAGTTGATTATGAGGAAGTATATGCACCAGTCGCTCGGATGGATACCGTGAGGATGATTTTAGCATTGGCAGCTCAGAAAAGTTGGATAATCTATCAGCTAGATGTAAAGTCAGCTTTCTTGCAAGGAGAACTTTCCGAAGAAGTGTACGTAGACCAGCCAAGAGGGTATGAAATCAAGGGTGCTGAAAGAAAAGTGTACAAGCTTCGTAAGGCCCTATATGGATTGAAGCAGGCACCACGTGTATGGTTTAGCAGGATAGATACTTACTTTCAGAAGATGGGATTTGTAAAGGATGCCAGCGAGCAAACACTCTTCACAAAATTCAACACACAAGGTAAATGTCTAATTATTAGCTTGTATGTTGATGATTTGATCTACACTGGTAATGATTAAACTATGATGAATGAGTTTAAAGAATCCATGATGAAAGAGTTTGAAATGACTGATTTGGGAAGAATGAAATACTTCCTGGGAATTGAGGTGTTGCAGCTTGATAATGGAATTTTCATGTGTCAAAGAAAGTATGTGAAAAAGTTACTAACAAAATTCAGAATGGAGGAAAGCAACTCTGTCTTAAATCCTATTGTCCCGGGGTTTAAGATTCACAAAGATGAAGAAGGTGTGAAGGTAAATATCACACTCTATAAGCAGCTTGTGGGAAGTATGATGTATGTGACAGCCACTCGGCCAGATGTAATGTATGCTGTTAGTCTGATTAGTAGATACATGTCTATGCCAACTGAACTTCACTTTGCAGCAGCCAAAAGAATTTTAAGGTATTTGTAAGGGACTATTGAATATGGGCTCTTTTACAGGAAAGAAGAAAACAGAGAGCTAGTAGGATTCACCGACAGTGATTACGCTGGATGTGTGGAGGACAGAAAAAGTACATCCGGGTATACCTTCATTCTCAGTGATGCAGCAGTGGCATGGTCCTCCAAGAAACAACCAATTGTTACTCTAAGTACAACCGAAGCAGAATTTGTGGCAGCAACAGCTTGCTCTTGTCAGTTAATATGGATGAAAAGAGTGTTGGGCAAAATTGGCTATGAAGGAAGCAGCAACCCTGTTATTTTCTGTGATAACAACTCAACAATCAAGCTATCAAAAAATCCGGTGATGCACGGCAAAAGCAAACACATCGATGTAAGGTTCCACTTCCTACATGAGCTAGTGAATGAAGGAGCTGTTTAGTTAAAATTTTGTAGCACACATCAGCAGGTTGCAGATATATTTACTAAGCCACTCGACACAAGAACCTTCCAGGGACTTAGAAAGAAGCTAGGAGTATGTGATGCACCAAAGTTAAACTGAATTGGACTGTTCAGTTTAGGAGGAGATGTTAAGATTAATATTTTGATATTTATTTTTAATTAAATTAAGTATTGCAGCACATTAGAATGTGTCAGTTTAGTGTTAGCTATTTTATTGTTTCAGTCAAAGTCAGTACCTAGATTTTAGGAAGGAATAAACTGCTCCACATATAATAGACAGTTAAGGAGATCCTGTGATATTATGTAAGTCTATTTATTGACCTTTTCTTATTCAATTAAGTAAGTTTTCCGGCATTTGATTCTAACAAAAATAACATACTTTTAGACAAATTTAATTTAAAATTGTCAACAGGGACCACTTTCTTGGTCCTATACTACTTTCTACGTACATTTTCATCATGTCATGAATTCACCAATCTATATAATAAAACTTGCTTTTAGTTTGTAATGTGCTATATACACGCAGCAGATAAGTACTTAATAATCACTTTCATAGATACACATCTCCAATTATCACTAAAAAAAGCTTCTGATTTAAAATATCTTTATTTTGTAACCTCTTTATGCGGATACTACAAATTAAAGACCAATGAGGTAAGCACCTGGTCCACCTCATTTCTCAATCAACATACTATATTTGTCACTTGACATAGTACCACTTTTTTTTTCTTATCTTTCTACTTTTAGACAGTAAAAATTCCTGCTTTATCAGATATAGCTATTTCTTTCTTCTCTTGTTGTTCCATAGTATCACAAAGAACAATCCCTTTAGTCTCTGGCAGATACAATAAAGTAACATTGGACAACATTATAACAACTCCAAACACACCATAAGAGAATATATTGTTCTTCTTTCCCGCAGATATCAAAAACGGACAAAATATGCAACCAAACACAATAGCCTGTCTCACCAACGATGTTGTTGTGTTCCGAACACACGTCGGAAACAGCTCTATAATGTATATCTGGAACACACTATAAGCTGTACAAACACCAAAGAATGCCACCATTGCTAACACCACTTTAGCTACCGGTACTCTATGCTCAAGAACAGCACACAGCACACAACAGACTCCACTTAAAATTGAGAAAACTAGAATTGAAGGTTTTCTTTTACAGTTTTCCAGGAAATATGCTGCAACACATGATGGAAATTCCATGGAAGCACTAAAAACCACTGCCAAGTAAACATTGAACCCCAAGTTTCCAACAGCTAGTGGCATACCGAAATAAACCATCCCAACACCGATTCCAAGAATCATGACAGCTATCATTCTTATAACTGCCCATCTTTTATGAAACAATTCACCTACTGATGAGTAAAGTTGAAAAATTGAAAAATTTTCTTTTGTGGGCGGTTTTGGTAAACTTGAAGCTAGATTAACGCTATTATCATTAGCAGTTTCTTCTGATGAAACCCTTTTGAGCATTTTCAATATTTCTTTCTCGTTACCTTGCATAACAAGCCACCTTGGCGACTCGGTAACAAAGAAATAAGCAATGACAGCGTAAATTATAGCAGGGATGGACGACCAAAGGTAAAGAGATTTCCATGAAGAGTTTCGGTTTAAATACGCGAACCCAGGTAAAGACATGTAACCGATTGTGAATGTAAAATACTCAACAATTCCAACTCGGAATCGCCATTCGGTGCTCACTTTTTCGGTAAGTAAAACAAGAACATAAGTCCCCATCGACGAGCGCCAGAAACCGATCAAGAATTTCAAGGCTGAGTAAATCCAAACATTGGTGGAAAAGATTATGAGCATGGATGTTATGGACATTGAGACACAAGAAAAGATTAACATGTTTTTTCTACCGAAAGATGAATCAGCTAAAGCTGCAAGAAAGGAAGAGCCAACAAGAGAACCAAGGAAGAAACAAGATTGAGGTAAACCAGTGATGAAAGTGCTAGCACATTGAAGGTTCCAATGAGAAATGATTGTGTTTGAAGGGTGTGTGTCCCAAGACCAAGTAGATCTTGGGAGTTTGCATACATCAGAAGATGAAGAACATGTTGAATTTGTGGTTGTGTTAGTGCAGTGCCATTTTGGGTAATTATCAGTGTAAATGCTAATGAAAGATTGTTGTGCATCAAAGAACATTGATATTGCAACAACAACAGCTTGTAAGAAATCTATCCACCCAAAACTGGATAAATTTTTTTCTATGATTTCATCCCATGATAACATTGGTTTATTTTGTTGATCAGCATTGGAATGAGATTCAGTTGCATTAACTTGAACTGAATCTTCCATTGTTGCTGTTGTGTTTGTGTGTTGTTATGAAATTTGAGTTTGAGAATTGTGAGGGATGAGTGTGTGGTTTTATAGTAGAGAAAAACAAATTGAATAATGATAAATAGAGATGCGGTGGCTAGCTAATAGAAGTGGACCATTATTCAATTTTGATATTTTATGTCGAGTGGAGTTATCAGTAGAGCATCCTAAATATGAGGTGGTTCTAGATGTTGTTGTATCTAATCATGTGGAGTTATCGAAAATTTTGAAACAGTGAGTTTTTTTAATCAAAAATTTTAAAATTTTTGATATTTTATGTCGCAAATTTTAAAATTTTCAGTATTTACATTATAATATGTATCGGAAATTTTAATATTTCTGGTATTTACATTAAATTAAGAATCAAAAATTTCAAAATTTTTGATATTTGCATACCAATTTTCGGTCAAATCTCATTCTTTATACCGGAAATTTTAAATTTTTCGGTAGTTATAAAAACTTGGTTTTTTATCGGAAATTTTTGAAATTTCCGATATATGTCATGGTTTTGGTATCGAAATTTTTTAAAATTTCCGGTATGTGTAGAAACTTTGTTTTATATCGGAAATTTTAAAATTTCCGGTAGTTGTCAATTTTTTTTAGTTTGAATTTTCTTCTTCTCCTTTTGCAGTGAAATTCAGAGGCAGAGAAGTCACTATTATAGGGAGAGTTGTTGATCGAGCGGCAGATCAGAGTTGGACTGCCAAGGATGTTGATGTTGAGTCTTCCCAGATACGTGCATGACAAGTGGCCCCAACCGGTTCATACCGGAAGCGGTTGATTGAGTGGGATCAGTTTCGAGCACCTTGTTCCACTCGACGTCGACCGATTTGATCAGTAGAGCATCCTACATATGAGGTGGTTCTAGATGTTGTTGTATCTAATCCTGTGGAGCATCCGGTGGTTGATCAGGGTGTTGACACAATTGTCGATCCGATTATTGATCCAGTTGATGAGGAAGTTGCTAAGGAGGAGGTTGCTCGGGTGGTCCAGCTAGATGTTGTTGTTGTTGAGTCAATCTCATCGGTTATTGCTGACACGGAGGTTACTACTTCTTTGACTGAGCCTTTTGTGCACACAGATGGAGGATTCCCTAAAGGACCCATTGTTGCACCCCAAAATTTGACCAACCTTTTTCAGTAATTTGGCTTATGTTTCATTTCATTTGCATTTGCATATCTTTTCTCGCATACGGTGCATTTTGTCGGTCGGAGTAATTTATCGGGATTACAACCCCTTTTCTCGCGTTTCAGGCAATTTAAACCAGTTCAAGATAAGGAGATTTATTTTGAAATCGAGCGGAGTTTGCTCTTTCTGGTGGTTCAGTCTATGTTGATGATATTGGCGCATTTCGGTGCTCGCCCATTTTTCCATGGCATTTTGTATTGCTGTTTTTGCTTTATTTAATTATTTAGAATAGTTTTTTTAATAGCTTCTTTCTTTTAATTTTTGTTTAGAATATGTTAAATAAGTTTTTAATATTTTTTTTTAGAATAGACTTAGAAATAGTTCAATATAATTTTAATAGAAATAGTTTTTAATAAGAATAGATTTTAATTTATTTAGAAATAGAATGTGTTTAGATTAGAATTTGTCTTTAAAATAGATTTTTTATTTTTAGTTAGAAGTAGTTCTTATTTATTTATTTATTAACTTTTTAGAATTAGTCTTTTATTAAGTTATAGATTTATTAGAAATTAGTTTTAAAAAAAAATATTTTGTTAGATTTTATTAGATTTTTAATATAATTAGTTGTTTAGTTAATTAGTATAGGCTAATTTAATTAAGTTTAATTAGGGTTAATTAGTATTAATTTAATCAGGATTTATTGGAGTTAGTTATTAGAATGTTGTAATTAATAGTTATTTTAGTTAGAATTTAGAATTAATTTAGATTAGTTATTATTAGTTTATCTATGATTAGATTTCAATTATTAATCATTGTTATTTAATTAGAATTAGAAGTTAGTTTAGAGTTTTAATTAAGTTAGTATAGATCATTTAATCAACATTTCTTTTAATTAAGTCAAATTAATCAGACTGGAAACAACAACAGATGGACAGCACGTGTCGTGTATATATTCTTGTTCCTGTTCAGCTTCTCCCACATTTGGGAACCCTAGCCGCAACCACCATCCGCGTTCTTCCTTCAACATCTTCATCATTCTTTAAAACCAAACCAAAATCCTTCACAACTCCCATTTCCGGTTACCTTCTTCTAAAACCGTCTGTCTAACCATACTCCACCACCGTGTAACACCTTCACTGCCGTAAAAAACTCACCTCCGTTCACAAACCATACCGCCGCGAAAATATCAACCCATTCGGAGCCACCCATCAACAGATCATCACCCGTTCACGAAATTCCCCAACTCCACCATTTTCAGAACCTCAAATGTCTTTTTCCTCTTCACACTCAACCCAGACAAAAACTTTCGAAAACCACCGCCCCCCACCTTCGACGAAGCCGCCATCGTGAATCCGAGTGCCTTCACTCTGGCCAGCAAAATTTCTTTAGTGGATGCGGTACCGATGAACTGAACACCGACGTAGCGATTTCGTAGCGTGGCTAATCCCAAGGTTGTGGCCCTGCATTTGGAGATAAACATGGATGCGCCGAGATTGCAGGCTAGGAGTAAAGTTGTGTTTCACCCCAATCTGGTTCGCTAGCAGTGAAGGCATTCCTTTAGTTTTATGGTAACAACTTTGAATTTATGTTTGTGATTATGTAGTATGGCTAAATTTGTGTGGTAACTTTTTTTTGAATTTCTTTTATCTCGTTCTGCTGTATATGGTAGTTCTTTTTTTATATAATTTTCTTCAATTTTCTAAGGATTGGGCAAGCGTCATGTGTGGTTAGATATATTATAAGTAAGATGTATTTACTGCATCTTTTGATCTAGTGTTATAATTGCTACTGATGTGGGTCTATTTCAACGAGAATTCAAGTATTTCATTACCATATAAAAAAATAATGTAACATATTTGATTTAACTTTTTTTTTTATTTAATTTTAAAATGTAATTAATTTACTAACATATTAGTTTTTAAATATAGTTTTAGATTTAGATATTTTTCTATTTATTTCTTTAGAATGTTTTATTTTTTTTTAATATAGTTTTCTAAAATGTAATATATATTCTATGTATATGTTTTTTTTAAGATTTTGCTAATATAGTTTTTCTATTTAATTTTTTAGAGTTATTTTTTTATAATAGTTTCTAAATATTTTGTAAATATCTTCTCTTTAATTTAATTCTTAGAATTTTAACACGCATTTCTCTAAGATTAGATTTTATGTTGTTTTGAGGATTTATTTTCATATTTCCTCGTTTTGGTCGATGACGAGACGTCCAAGTTGTTATACGTCAAATTATTGATGGAAACGACAATCCCGAGACCGTTTTTTCTCTTTCGTTTCCATTTTCGACCTTTATTTCATCTCTGTTCATTTTTCACCGTTTTGGGTCGATGATGAGACCTCTGTAATTCGTTATTAATCAATTTGTTGATGGATAATGTAGGATATGAGACCACCTTCTTTCTCTCCTCTTTTCTCTTTTTCTTCTGATTTTATTTTGCTCTTCTTCTGGTTTGGGCCGTATGACATGATTTAATTGGAGAATGATTTTCAATATCATTTCTCCATCTTGTCTTTGACACGGAAATCGATACGCAACCTCTTAAAGTTTGACTTCCCTTATAAGTCGAGCTATGACGGTTTAGCGTCACATTGGTCCCGATTCAAAGCATCATCAAGGACCAAAAGAGGAGAATATTGGAATGGAGCTTGCGCACAATGTCAAGGGTCAACGGAACCACTCTGTTCGGTAACATCTATCTAATTCAAATCTTTTAATCAACTGTCGAGCGTTGTGAGTTTTAAGCAATAGATATGTAGGAAATGGTGATTGAGGGGTTTCCCCTTAATGGCCTAGAGTGTTTAGTGTAGCACCCTTTGGGTGATATACGACGCATTCGCTCCTACGCTTTAGGTTCTTGTGTGTGTGTCCCGAGTTCCTTCCCGTTTAGGCGTGTTAGGCCTGCTTCCTCTTTTCCCTCGCCCCTGTGCGACCGAAACTCCTTCTCTCGCGTCCTGGCGATCGAGATCCCCCCTCTTGCCTCAGTGCAATCGAGACTCCCTTTTCTCTCGCTTCCGTGCGATCGAGACCGTTTTCCAGAGTTAGCTGAACTACGGATGCTCTGATCTCTCATACCTGTTGAGAGTACGTAGGCATAGGATGCGATATCCTAGCGAGCACACTAACAACTAACTTCTCTGTTCTCTCGCTGCCGTGCGATCGAGACTTTCCCACTGACGACTAATCTTTCCCTTTCTCTTGCCCTAGCGCAATTGAGACCAGACCGTAGTTCTAGAACCCGTAGGTTCCCATATCTTTAAACCCCGACATACTACGTCCGTTCTACCACAAACAGGTAACGCCTAAGTCTCCAATGGTCGAGCAACATACACCTAACTGCTAGAATGCGCATGCTAGTATCGTCAACCTTTTCTCTCACCCCCGTGTGATCGAGAACACCCCTGTTTACCCGTAGTTAGCCTGAACTACGTTTTGCTCTGATTTCTCGTACCAGACGAGAATACGTAGGCACAAGACGCGAGGTCTTGGCGAGCAATCCCCCCCGTAGTTTTTCGAACTACGTTGACTCTGACTTTCCCATTGCACGAGGGAATACGTAGGCATAGGATGGCGATGTCCTATCGAGTCAGCTCTTTCAGTTCTTTCCGTTCTTTTCAGTTCTTTCCGTTTAGCATTAGCAGCCATAGATAGTTTGTTTTCACCCATAGACTAGACAACAAGCGTCGATCCCGTCGAGTACGACGGACGTGAGGGGTGCTAATACCTTCCCCTTGCGTAACCGACTCCCGAACCCGAGATTTGGTTGCGATGACCAATCTTATCCCTCTTTTCGTTAGGTTTTCTCTGAGCGTTTCATTTCCCTCCTTTGGGATAAATA